TCCACGTCATGAGCGGCTACGAAGGACTCGTGCTTCTCAGATTCACCAACTACAACGACCTTGTCATAGAAACTAAATTCAAATCTCGTACGCTATACGCGCGACCACGACCCAGTTCTTTTCAGAATTCCTACTGGCAATCTGTATGAACTACTATCATTACGGCATGCCAGTTATTCCCGCTACGGCTTCGGCTCACGCCGACATAAACAGCAGCAAGTCCTGTCGTACGTACCACAACGCACACATCCTACAACCCACACACCCTACGCAGCACATACTGCACGGCACATACTGCACGACCTTCTAAGCCATACGCTTGTTCTTGTAGCCATACCTATCAATATCAATGTAAGCCGCCCGTCCTGGGTCTGTCCAGCGTATGTTAGGGTGTATGTTAGGGAACCATTTATGTTCTATGTTGCAGCGCGAGACTGCAATACCGGTGTTCTGCAAGTCTCCGTCGCCTGAGGCGGTGATTATCCAAACCCGTTTCCCGTCTGAGGACTATCTTGGAGAATGTTTAGTCGTAAGTACGCGGAATGGATTTGCTGCAGACCGGTTCTTGAAACCGGTCAAGCGTGTGTCCACGGCGATTTATGTTGCCGATCTGGTGGATTTGAATGCAGCTGTTGCCGAAAATAACCATCCAGTCGCAGTCGCTGTGCTCTACCAGGACAGTAAGACCACGGTTCCTTTGATCCAAAACCCTCACTCCTAAACCTGTCATCCCTGAACCTCGGCCCTAAACCTCTCGGCCCTGAACTTCGGTCCTAGCAAATCGGTAAGGTCACCTTCCTTCTTTTAGTGATGCTGGAGTTGTATGCGTCCCCCACAGACGAGAAAACGTCAGCCCTGTACTCCGTGGATCTCCACCCGAAAACAAGAAAGGTTCAACCTGTGGCATTGGACTCGGGCGAAACACAGACCACCGGCGGACTGCTCTCTACCTTTACCTCCTTGTTGAATGCCGCGACCACCACAGCCACGTCATTCTACGCCATCAAGTTTCGTAAGTCAACCTGCTAGACACGCTTTGACCACATCTTCTGGTCGACCACATCTTATGGTGGACCACATCTTCTGGTCGACCACATCTTCTGGTCGACCACATCTTCTGGTCGACCACACATGCTAGTCGACAACAACTAGGGCATTCGTCAAACCATCTGTCTTGCCACCATCTGTCTTGTCGCACAGATGTAATACCCGTAGATGACATCTCTGCTGTAGAGGAGTCAAGAAGCAGAATGGACACTGCAGGGGCCGCTATCATGTTCGGTGTCAAAGCTGAGAGGAATGAGTGGTTGCGCATGTTGTACGACCGGCGCTGAAGACATGACGGCGAGAGCGAGGCCGGGGGTGGGCGAGGCCGTCCCTACCTTTGAGTTGGTACGGATCTGTTTCTCGTCTATTAGTTGTATCCTGCCTGTTGATCGCACCGACTCTGTTAGATAGTGTAGTAGTTAAGCAGATCGGTTCCGTGTTCTGGTCGGTTCCATGTTTGTTGTGTGTGATGTTGTTGTGTGCGATCGGGCAAAAAGAGTGTTGGCCTAAGAGGCTTATATTTTCAGCTTCTTCAAAGCCTTCTTTTGCTTGCGGTCGTCCTTCATAAGTTTCTCGGCGCCCTCCATTTGTACAACAGGATTTGCCGGCACGATTGCGCTGAGTTCATCAGAATTGATAGCTTTAACGAGATGCCGTAAAGTCGAATCTTTGGGCGTCTGAAATCGGTCGTGATTAAAGCAGGTAGGTACTCAGGTCGGAGTCGGGTTACGCCGTGTGTGGTAGTGTTTGGATGCGTGTTTTGAGGACTTACCATTTCGATGAATGCGCGATGTATGAGGCTGACTGCCTGTCCCTTTTTGCCTCCGCCGGGAAGCAGTTTGCCTTTATATCTACAGTTCTTGAGGGCGGGTAGCGGTGCGACCATGGGCAGTGCAAAGAGGAGTGTATCCTTCTCATGCGGCTTGCCTGTCAATTCGTCTAACACCGCCAATCGGGTCGTCCACTCCTTGTCGATCTCCGCGTCTTCTTCACCTCCGAAACGACGTTCCGCAGCGCTCCGGTCCGGCTTGGTCTCCGGCTTGGTCTCCCTGCTTACCACCGCCGCCGACGCCTCGTCAGCCGCCTTCGCGCCCAATTGTAACGCCTTAGACCCGTACAACTTCATCGCCAACTCGCGCTCGTCGTCACTTTGGTCACCGTACTTCTCCTTCATCTTCTTCAACTTCTTCGCCTTCGCCCGGGACAACGCCATCTGCTTCTTCCCAGCACCTTCAATGCCACCCTTACTCTTTCCCCCGTCACACCTCGAATCCTCCTCCGCACCAGACTTGGTCGCACCAGACTTGGTCGCACCAGACTTGGTCGCACCAGACTTGGCCGCACCAGACTTGGCCGCACCAGACTTGGTCGTACCAGACTTACTCGGACCAGACTTGGTCCCACTCCCACTGCTCCTCCCCTCACCACTCTGGGAGTCATCCAAGGGTGAGGCAAGAAGGTCGGGATGCAGTTCGGGACTTTCTTCCTCTGGAATCGGCGAGGGGAGGTCGGCGTTGCTGGAGCGTCTACTGCCGATGCTTGTCCGCTTTAAAAGCGCTCGCGTGCTGGGCAGCTCCTGAGGCAGGAAGCGCCGGGGTGCGGGTCCTTCGTCAACGCCGCTTAAACTGCGACTGAGAGATTCTTTAGATGAGTCGTGGGGTCGTGGTCTGTGATCTGGATCCCCCTCTTGACTTCTCCGACCCCCTGTGCCGTCTTGAACCCCCTGGTCATCTTGACCCCCAACGAGGACGGGTGGTGGCGTCAGAGGCGACTCCCAGAGTGCGTCAAGTGCCTTCGTTTCAGGCGTTTCCTTCCGAAGGAGGGGTCCGGGGGCGGCACGTCCGGCATACTCGAGAGGCGGAGGTAGCTCGTCTGCCGAGTCTGGTCGACGTAGCTGCTTCGGATTGTGGTACTCGTCACAGATGTTGCCTGCGTGGTACTTATCGATCTGCGCCAACTCAGGAGGCGGCGAAGCAGTCTCCGACGAAGTCAGCGGCGAATGCACCGACCGGTCCGACCGTATCGGAATCACCTCCGTCTGCTCCGGATCGAAAGCCACTGCCGGCTCGATCACTGGCGTCGGCGCCACCTCGTACGACCCAAACTGCACACGAGATGAATTCGACCGCAGAGAGTCACGACGTGAAGTCGTACCCTGCTCCGCCCCGCTACTGTGCTCTTCCTCCTCAGGGTGGCCTTCCCCATTAGGGTGGTCTTCCCCACTAGGGTCTTCCCCATTGGGGTCTTCCCCATTGGGGTAGTCTTCCCCGCTTTCGACTTGCGGCAATGTCGGGTGGTGTCTTCGTTTGCTTTCTTCATCTCCGAGACAGAATAGGACCGTTATTCCGAGTTCGAGTTTCCGAACTTGGATGGGGTTACGTTTGCCTCTGATAATGAAGCCTCCGGTGGAGACATACTCGCCTGCTTGCGGGGTTTTACTGACCTGATCCGCGTAGACCCAGTAGGCGGTGGTGATGACTTTGTTCTTCCAGGCGTTGGACCGGCAGACAGACATGATGCCGGCTTCCTGTATTGTGGTTTCCGGCACGGAGGGTCTGCCGGGTTTGTTAGCATCAGTTGTGGTCGCGGACGCGTCGTGGTTGCGGATGATGCAAGTGGCAGCGCCATGAACGTCGGCATGTACGTACAGGTCATTTTTTGTCAAGTACTTCTTGTACAAAATGTCGTTCTGGGTCGCATCATGACCGGCAATCACCAGATAACCATCCGAAGACAGGAACCAAAAAAACCTCTCGAACCAGTAGATCTTTCGCACGGAGCATATTTGACGCTCCGCCGTAGCGGTCAAGTCGCGCTGCACCGTCTCCCGCGCACGCGCAACCTCCGCCTGCCGGATCACAACATCCGCCGCAGTCTTGGTCTTCTCGTACTTCAACCACGCAGCCTTTTTGTTCTCGTGCAGTAACTTAACGTTCCCGTAAGCCGTCTCCCGAAAGTCCAGCCAGACAGGAATCAACTGTGACTCATCCTCAGCCTCCAGCCCGTCTTCCGACTTTCCCTCTCCGCCGTCCTCCGACCCGTCTTCCGACCCGTCTTCCGACTTGTCTTCCGACTTGCCCTCTCCATGCTCCTCCGACCCGGCTTCCGACTTGCCCTCTCCATGCTCCTCCGACCCGTCATGTCCACCCTCCTTGTTCGCCTTGGCTCCAGGTTGGCCCACAATGTCCACCTCTGCCTGGTCGAAATCCTTGCCCCATACGCTGCTAGGGAGCATCAGTTGGATTTTGTGCTTAGCAAAGTCCGAGTTCATTATGAAGGACGCGATAGGATGGTTCTGTCGGGCCTGCTGTTTAATCGCCTCCGTTAGCTCGGACCAGCTTGACCCAGAGTCTGCCAGTCGTCGTAACATCTCCACGGCCTGATCGACAAAATCGAGATGGAATTCCACTGCGTTGGCCTGCTTCTCCGCCGCACGTGCAGCCAGTTCCAACTGCTCTACACGCGTGTACTGGTCGCGACGGATCTTCTCTACCTTGGAAATCAACTCATTCATTTTTTCGTCCGCTGACTTGCTCGCCTTCTGCACCTCCGCTGTTGTAAAGTACACGTCCGCCGCCTCATGAAACGACTGAAAAATCTGCTCCACCACCGACGCCTCCTTCATCAAACCTGTCTTCAAGGGATACGGTGAAAAGTTTAACAACTCACCGCTATCCTTCATTGCATCCACAGCACTACCCCCCTTCACACGCTCTGCTTTATCCACACCATCGCGCGCCGCGTCATCACGGACTCGGCTGTACAGGTAACCCGTGTAAGGACCCTCGTCGACACGACGCCAAATGTTAACCAAATGTGACACCACACCGGTCACTCTAGCCACAACCGATTCGTCCAATTCCGGAATCTCCACCTCAGCTGTTTCCGGCCCTTCTGACTCGGGTTTCAATCTGGGTGCTGACACATGCGGACCACCCTCTGACGACGGACGGACTACTTGCGGTAAAAGAACTGGTTCGTCGGCGGCTTGAGCGTCATCCAAAGCTTCCAGGATCATTTGCCTGTGGCACGACGGAACAGCCCCGGCAACCAAGTCACTGAGTTTGAGCGGAAGGGGCTTTCCCTTCTTATCCACCTTACCCGACCAGTCCCTCTGTGTGTGTTGTGAGCATTCCTTGACTTTAAGGCAGAGCTTACAGGGCATCTCAGCACAATGGTGAGGCTGGTATTCCGTGCCTGCGCGAGGAACGAGGGCCCACCTTTGAAAGAGGTCATTTTTCATGTACAGCGCGATGGGGTAGGTTTCCTTCATCTTTACTGCAAATTCGTTCTCATTGTCCCTGAATTGCCGCCACGCAGCAATAACGATGTACTCGTGGTCAGTAAGGATGACGTTTCCTCTTGAATAGAACTCGACAATTAGGTGAATAGCATTCTCCTCAAAGCCGAATTGTAAGTCCAGAACACGGTCCGTTCCCAACTGCTGGACCTTTGCAACCCGTTTCGTACGAATGTACTTGCGTAACTTCATGGTAAACACGGATGGAACAGCCTGTTTGCTTCGTTTCCAATTCGATAAATGCGCTCGAACACCCGATTGTAACATCAAGTACTTCTTCTCCGACTCATTATTGTGAGAAAGTTTCAATACGTACATCTACGGGGTACATGTGGCAACATACGTAGTTGAACTTAGACACGTATGCGAGTATGTGGGTCGCATTCAAAGTTGTCGCACTTACTCTAGACGAAATATCGTACACATTGGCCACCCTTAGATGCTGGCACTGCTGGTTCAGGGACTGTGCTATAGACCTCAGGTCTATAGCAGCCATCCGCGCCTTCCCCATTTAATTGAGCAATAATGATATGCTCGGGGAAGCCACGACTCTCAATCACCGAAAGCCGATCGGTTTCCTGAACACCGTTTCCACTAGACGGCTGAAGAGCTCTACCGCTTTTGACATCGGGCATTCTGCCATTCTACCATCCACTGATGTCCTTTCTGATGTCGGGTCCAATACTCCTGACATGAAGCCTTCCAGTGTTGTGTCAACTTACAAACTTGAAATCGGTCGAGGCCGAGCACCCGGGGCCTGGACTGTTGCACGAAAACAACCACGCATCGCAGAAGGATGGCACGACGGCGGGTCCTTACCCGACAAATATAGCCGACCCCTAGCTGACCAGAATCGCACGGACGGGGGTGGGAAACGCACTGACCAGCGTAGCAACATCACCGACCAGAATACTGAAGCTGCGGGCATGCACGGACAAGACCTGTCCGACATGCAAATAGCCACAAGGAACCCCTTTCCCACAGAAGTTTCCTTTCCCACAGAAGTTTCCTCCCCCACAGACCCCGCCGTGGTTCCCTTCTCCGCAGACCCAGTGGAGGCTCCATTTGCCGCAGACCCAGTGGAGGCTCCATTTGCCGCAGACCCAGTGGAGGCTCCATTTGCCGAAGACCCAGTGGAGGCTCCATTTGCCGCAGAGGGTCCCTTTGCCGCAGAGGGTCCCTTCGCCACAGAAGTTCCTTTTACCGCAGAAGTTCCTTTTCCCACAGGAGCTCCCTACGTTGCGGAAGCTCCCTACGTTGCGGAAGCTCCCTACGTTGCGGAAGTTCCCTACGTTGCGGAAGCTCCCTACGTTGTGAGAGTCCCCTCTCCCGAGCAAGCTCCCTTTCTCGAGCAAGCTCCCTTTCTCGAGGAAACTCCCTTTCTCGAGCAAGCTCCCTTTCTCGAGCAAGCTCCCTTCCTCGAGCAAGGTCTTTGCCCGGAGCAAGCCCCCTGTAACGAACAAGCTCCTTTTCCTGAACAAGCTCCCTCTTTTGAGCGAGTTCCCTTTCCTACAGAGGTTCCCTTCTCTGCAGGGACTCCCTTCGCGGCAGAAGTTTCGATCGCCGCAGAAGGTCCCTTCACCGCAGAAGTTCCCTTCGCAGCAGAGGCTCCCTTCACCGCAGAAGCTGCCTTCTATGCAGGAGCTCCTTTGCCGACAGAATTACGGACAGAAGTGCGGCCATTTTCTCCCAGAGTACCGACATCGGCTGCAGTGCCCTTGTCCAGAGGCGTCCCGTTAGTCACAGGAGCGCCGCTAACCATAACAGTACCACTGAGCACAGGAGCGCCGCAGGCCACAGGAGCGCCACTGGCCGCAGGAGTGCTTCTGGACACGGGAGTACCACTGGCCACAGGAGCGCCGTTAACCCCAACAGTGCCAGTGGACACAGGAGTACCACTGGCCACAGGAATGGTATTAACCACAGAGGTACCACCAGTACGGGGGTCTCCAACCTTGCGCTGGAACGCCAATGATACGACAGGAGGCGCTAATGGTGTTTTACCTTCTCGGCCGCGTTTTTCGCCGTCTCCAAGTTTCCGTCCGTCGCCTCTGTTGGGCAAAAGCGGTCCGTCTGTGAGGGGTCCATTTGTGGATGTTGCGCCGACTGTTCTGCATGCAGTTTGTGCTACGGCTGAAGAAAGCACTTCGGCTGGGAATAGTCCGTTTGGAGTGAGTGATGCTCCGTTGGCGAGTGTTAATACAAACCCTTTTCGAAGAGTCAACATGGTCTCAGAGGCAAATAAAGGAGTCTACGGCGTTGATGGAATTCGAAGTGGTAATGAGCCTAGAACTGGCGGTCAGCGAAAGGGTGTAGTTTTCGATTTTATACAGAGGCAGCTCCAGACCCTCTCTTCTGAGTGGTCGCACACACGGTTAGGAATTGATCTCGGGACGTTCGGTCATCTGAGGTTCAACCAAAAGTATGATGCATCCTGGAACTCTATCTACCAACTGTACGCTTGTCTACACTCGTATCGTCTCTCTGATGACCTGTTGTTGAAACAATGTAAGCTTTTCTTCCGTCAACGCGGATATCTACGACGCGATTCCCGCAATGCGATTCCCGCAATGGCCGATGGACGGTCGTCATAGGCACGGGTCTTTGGGTCACATGGGCGTTCGATTAATCGGTAACCTACATTCCGTTTGTTGCAGTTGCGGAAAGGGTGACGGATATATTTCGGCACAAGTTAAATGAGAGTGGACTTTTATTGTGTTTGCCGGAAGTGATAATAGATATACTGACGGGACAGACAATTGCAGCTGAGCGTAAGGCGGAGGATGGCTTCGATGAAGATAATGAGTGGGAGCTGCAGTATATCTTTTTCACGTTCCAGATTTACTTGGGTAAGAAGGAAGGTCTCGAGCCGGACCAGCTGGCGCCACATGTCGCTCAACTAGAGCGGTTCTATTACAGACATCTGAAAGGGGCGTTGGACGGACGCCAAATGGATGATCCAAGAGGGTTGGACCCCATGCGGTTCGGAGCGAGTTCGGGAATTCATTTCAAGGTTGGCTCTTGGGGAGCTAATTCCCCTGTAAACTCCCCAAGAAATTCCCCTACGAACTCGCCAACTAACTCCCCAGCTAACTCGCCAGTAAATGCTCGAGGTAGATCAATTTTACCTGACCCGGTTACCTACCTACTCGTGGGGCATGATGAGGCTAAGGTCAAGCATACTTTCAAGCGGGACTGGAACCGATACAAATGGGAACGTAGCTCCGTAACCATTTTGAACTATCCCCACAAGAACAAGAAAAACTTATCCAAGAGTGATTACAGGTTCCAAGCTAACTCAGGCTCTGGAGAATTCGGTGTACAAAACCATGATGCTGGATTTTCCGGCGTCGGATACCCAGGCAATGCTGCGGCTTATGGCGGTACTGATGAGGCTGAATTCCTCCCGTCCAAAAACAATTCTGGACGCAAGGCGCAAAATGAGCAACTATCCGTACTCAGCTTATATGACGTGGCTATGAATTGTTGTAAGCTTGGCTACTACTTTATCTTTAACAAAGTCGCAGATGTGCAGCTGATGTTTTGTCCCGGTTACGACGTATACTTGCATGATCTGATGCGTTTGATTGTGACTGAGAATCTTGTCACCGAGCCTAAAGACAGCAATCGTAAGCGCACTATACCTCAGAGTGTTACGCCCCCTCAAACTATGCTTAAGAATCCTGGCTTCATGTCCCAAGTTTTACGGCGATACTTGATTTTGAGAGACGATCATAATGTAGTTAGCAGTGACGCTACCTTACTTGCCAAAGAATTAGGTTTAAGCTCAGGAGCAGGAGATACCGGAACGATGTCTATAAATGGAACAATTGTTGACGAGACAGCGGCCAGATACATTGAATTTACGGGTGAAGGCGGGGTTTTCAGCGACCGAGTAAATACTGGTGACGGTCTCTTTTACTCCGTTTTACTCTCTTTCTTATGCGGAGAGACAGCGACAACGAGCAAGTTGGTTAATGAATATCGTGTGCACACGAATTTTCCTAAGCGTATCGAGCGCGATTCTGACACGATAGCCTCGTTTGAATACATTGGGATAGTTCCCATATGTCCTTGGGCAACGAATCATCGTCGGCGGGGCTCTGCCAGCGCTACGGAAGCAAAGCCGCCCAGGTGGCCGAATTCGCCCTCCCATTCAGGTCCGCTGAAGGGTTTGATGCAATCCGCGTTTGGTGTTCCTCCTAAAAGAGTGCCTGCGGATGTTCAACAATGCGCTGACAACGGTCAAAGGAAGGTAATTCCTTACAGAGCGCACATCGAGCATGTACAGCCGAGTGGTTGGAAGGTTATTCTCTTGATAGCATTGTTCCTTTACATATCGGAAGTTCACGATCGATATGCAGGTAGCGATAGCCTTGAGGGTCATGACATTCGTGGCCATGATGTCGGGAGTGGTTTTCTGGCTTTGGGTGGTTCAAGAACTGCTCCAGATATATTTAAGATAGTGAACGGTCAGGATGAGTTGTATATATTACTGCGTCGATGGATCAATGCTGAGAGGAATCAGATAGTCAAGAACATTTTGAATTTGATTAATACGTTGTATCTGATATCCCGGAAGGATTTCGAGGCTGCAACTCCGAGTTCATTACAATTGAAGGATTCGTATCTTCCTGCTCTTGATGGGCTTTTGCTTTATTGGTTTAATACGGCGGTGTTATGTAAGAGGCCGAAAGGTTTTTGTTCGTGTCCATATAACGGATTAACCTTATGGCCCGACAACGGAGGTGTCGACTACAGCTATCGACTTGGTAGTTACAATGGTCCGGGTAATTACAAAGGCTCGAAGGTTGTAAGAGACTCCGCAGAGAAGTTTGAAGTACAATGCAGGAGTAACTTTCCTTTGATGGCCTGGCTTTGCCGCATTAAAGTTATTTTGATCGGTCGCCAGCTGCAGTGTATGTTAAAAGAAATTGAGAAGGATGAGTTTGGTATATCACTTATGCCAGTAGATCGGAGGGTTGTACCGGATCATCGCGTTCCATTGGACCAGAGGGGTCGTGCTATCGACCTTGGGGTACAGAAGTTCGAGCTGCTGGGTGAAGAGTATATAAATCTGAAAGCACAGAATATTGACGAGGATGTATTCGACTTAGATCTATGGTTCCGATGCTTGATTTACTTGTCCAAGACGGCCGAGTCTAAATCTCTGTTCAAGAAGTATGAAAAAAAACTATGCAACGATACCAAGTTCTTGCATGCGTTCCGCAATGGTCAATTATCGACTTGTTTGCAGTTACAAGGTTATGACCTTTCTTCCATAAATCCTGTTGGAAATAATCGTTCTATTGGATGCAAGGGTTTAAGGATAAAAGAATTACTTGTTGACCTGTTTAATTATCTGAATCGCGATGAGGATCTGATAGTACTTTGTAATGATATTCTATCACGATATCCGCAACATATTAAGGCACATTTCTTGGCAGCCGATTCATACCTTAAACTTAACCAAGCCTCCCTCGCTGAGAAACATTACTATGCCGCAATTTCTCAACTTAACTCTTTAAGAGCAACGTCCGATTCCCTTCATCACTCCGGTTCCCTTCATCACTCTGGTTCCATCCAACGGTCAAGTTCATTCCACTTTTCAAGTTCAGTAGATGATCATGAC